CATGGTTTTCTATGCAATATGTTTATGGTTTTATCTCCAACTTTATGTTTTATATTTTATAGTTGATCTTTCCATTTGATTTGAGAGTAAATTTTGAATAATAATTAAAAGAAAAGGCTTAAAGTAGATGATATGAATATGATCGACATCTTGAACGTGACGCACTGCTCACTGGGGTAGCTTGGCTGCGTCTCATGGGAGACTTGGGCCCATATCGGCCCTTCCTATCCTAGCACGTCAGCAGACTATTGTTTTTAATATTTACACTCAGCCTTCATTGGTTACTTGTTAATTATATATGAAAGCTTATTTATGATTGAATTTGGGATGCATGACTGTCTCAAAAACAGGCCTACCTGGCCCACATTAGCTTAAATGAGCTGAAGGCCGAAAGTTTAGTTCCATAATTTCCATGACTTCTCTTAAAAGGCTCAAATTGTTCGTGTTTGGGGTTAGATCTGAAAATTTTGAATAAATTTCTTAATTTAAGTCTTGCATTATCGTAAAATAATCAAAAATAGGTATATAAAGTCTGATTTGCGTAACATAAGTCTAGGCTCTAAATGACCAAATTAAAATAGTTTAGAATCCAAATTAAATAATACAAACCTAAATTTTAAAGGACAGAAGATAAATCTTTTAAAGTCTAAATTGTAAATATAAAATCAAATATTCCTTAATCATCATCTTCATGATTTTCTAGGGTTTAGTCCATAAAGAGGGAGCTGCATTTTAACCTTAATTTTTTAAGGAACTTGAAAATAGAGAAACAAAAGCTTCAAGGCTAACCCTCTATGCTTAAAATGTCTAATTTTCAATGCTCATTCTCACGTATAAAATAGTTAATTAAAATATGATCTATCATATATATATTTATATATATAAAGAAACAGAACATGATGAACAGGAAAAGAGCGCATTTTGTCCCCATAAAGCAGTAAAGCATAAGAATTGTATTGCACTTGAGCTCGATTTCACTCGAATGAGACTGAAAGGGGTCCCTCTTTTAGGCCCAAGTGGAAGCAGGAACACTTTTTTTATTTAAAAAACAGAAAAAAAAACTATTTTGTGACTATTCATATTTTCTCTCAATTTTTAGTTTCATATTTATGTTTTTTTCTCTTAATTAAATGCTTTAATTTTGCTCTATTAACGTCTTTAAATTTAATACCTTTGCTCCGTTAGTGTCACTAACTATTTAACTTATGCGTAGGAGGTGTTAACAAAACAATTTAAATATTTTTTTTCTTTTCCAGTCCTTTTTATCACTTAAAAAATTTTGAGAATTTATTTGAATTAACGTTGACAAGGTTAACTTTTATATCTCACTTGACTTATGCAAATCAAAATTAAGATAAATTATTTATATTTAAATGATATTTTATTAAAAAGTTAATTTTACCCAAAAAAATTTTGGATATATATTAAAAAAATCAATGTTCTTTAAATTGATCTTTGGACAAAAAGCAATTACTTGTAAAAATAGGTTATATTGTAAAATATAAAACTACAACAAAAACAAAAAGCTTGCTTTAAAAATTGCTTGGATGGGGGACAAGAGGGAGTATTAAAATAAGGAAATGATTATAAATAAAGGATATTTTAGGAAGGAAGAGAGAAAAAAAAAGGGAAGAAAAGTGCTGTGTGGTTGGAAAGGGGACATGTGGCTCAATGATTGCTGTCACGCTCCAATGATTCAGGCTCCTCAAAAAGGGCACTTCCGTCTTCCTATTTCCTAATTTCCTCCCACTTATTTTATAATTTTTTTGTTATGTTTTAAACATAAAATTTATTTTGTAATATAAATTATATTTAGGATTAGAAGAGTATTATAATTTCTCAATACTGTCTTTTACTACTATATACTCCTCTGGTCCTATTTATAAGGCACTTCCAACATGTTTCACACAGACCAAGGAAAACCTTAAACTGCATTAACTCTCCATTAAAATATAGTAACTTTCCAACTTTACCCCTATTTAACATATACTCCTTTCAAAAAAGATAACTACTTACACTATAATAAATGAAGGACAAAATAGTACATTCACACTGAAAAGTTAATGAAGTGACTTATAAATAGGACAAAAAAAAACCTTCTCTCTCTGCCCTATAAATAGGACCAGAGGAGTATTTGGTAAATTTTTTAAAAATTTTCCCATTACAAAATTTATTATCTAAGTATATTTGAAATTTTTTTAACGTCGGAGGTGCAATATATTTTTCGTCCGAGTATTGTTGCTGCTGCTGTGTAATCTATTTTTGACTATTTACAAAACAAAAGGTATTTTTATGTAGTTAAAAATATGTTGTATATAATTAAATAACAGTTTCACTCGCTTAATGACCTAAGCCCTCGAGTACATTTTGACAATAAATTTTTTTATATATTTTATAATTGAATGCTATGGATAGTATTATAAGAAACTTCTAAATGAGTTCCATTATTTATAACTTATGAGTAAGATAATACTACTGAGGTCTTAATTATAAAATATTATTTATAATTTATAAATAAGGTTTTATAATTAGAACCGGATGTAATGTTCAAGGTTCACCTATTTGGTCGGATGCATATTAGTTAAATTTTCAGTCGAATTCACTTTTTGGGTGTCCCCAAATAATTGACAAAAATGTTAAAATTAAATAGACTAATAACTACTCCTCCAATTCTTAATATAAGACCCATTTAACTAATTTGATTAGATCAAGGAAGTTAGGTAAGTTAGTTAATTATGAGAAATGTGACACCCTTTTCTTAAAATACCATAATTATCTTTCTTAATACCCCCTCTTCCTCTTCTACTTGATTATGGTTGAGGGAGTATCCATAAAGATAATTTAGAGAAAATTGATAAATATAAGAAATGAACCTTATATTTAGGACCAAAATTAACTTAATAATTAGATCCTATATTAAGGACCGGAGGAGTATTTATTAAAAGAAGAGTTGAATATCACGGTTATTATTGAAGCATATTAAATGCTGTCATATGTAAGGGTTGCATGCATGCGTGCGTGCATGTGTATTTGTGTATAAATGGAATTACATGGAATTATGCTTATCTCAACAAATTTTTTTCCCAAAATAAAGTCAAATTAATTAAAATAAATACAAATAATAATCAAATGAAATATATCAGTGGCACAGTATTATATAAATCATAATAAAGCATTCCTTGCTGACAAACAAAGAAATGGATACCTCAACATCTAGCTGTCGACGGTTCTGCTTTTGTTTATCTATTTGCCTACATCTTTATTCTTCCCCTTTTTATTCTTCACCAATTATTTCTTTCACTGAGTTGTACAATTTATTTTATTCTGTCAAAATTATTTTTCATTTTTGTTAAATAATATTTTGGGATAAAATGATTTCGCTCGAAATATTACCTAAATACCAATTTTTTTAAGGAAAAAATAGGCTGATACTATAACTTTAAGGTAAAATCATAATTGAAAATTTCTAGTTAAGTTTATAAAAATCATATATTTTGAAATTATTTTGAGAATTCAGAATATAAAAAATTAAATGACATAAAATCCTACCATTTTACGTTTTAAGTGAAGTTTTTTTTCCATAAAGTGTTTGAAATAACTTTAAAATTAGAAAATTTAATATAAATTTATGCAGGTCCTTAAACTGTAGCTGGGCATAATTGCTGTGGCAAATGCATTATAGCAGATTTCAAAAGTTGCTTTCAATAATTAAAAATATTATTAATTAAATATTAAAAAAACGAGGGAATTGATAAATGGGGACCCAATCAACGTGAATTTCGTTGATTGGTATATTTATTAAAATATTGGGTTCCTTTCAGCCTAATCTCAAATCCAATGCCAACAAGAATTATTTTTATTTTTTAATTTGATTGAGTGTATTATTATGTTTAATTTTTCAAACTTATATTTTTCAAATTTTTATTAAGTCATTAATTAATACAATTTTGTGGAGCCAAAATAGCAATTTTTAAAAAGACATTGTTTAATATGGTCAAAATAGCAATTTCAATCCACCATCAATTTCAAATGTTGTAGCTATTAAAGATATAATATAATAAACTTTTAATTTTTTTTCACAAGATATACTATTGATGTTTTTCAAGCAAAAATCAGAAGGACTTAGAATTTAAATCAACATTAATATAAAACATAAAAAAAAATACAAAGTCATGTAACCAGGGAAAATATGCTAAAAAAAATCACTTATAAGTTAAAATTATTATACTACAACCTATCCTTGATATAAAAACTATTTAACTAATTTAGATAGATTAAAAAAAAGAGATAAATTGATTATTTATAACAAATATGAAATGTCACATGACCTCCTTAAAATATTTTTGTGACATTATCAAACTATATATCAACTTATAAGCTAGGTAAGTTAATTTAAAAAAATGATAAATACAATAGACAAAAAGAATTGATATGTTTTATTTAAATGAAATTCAATCCTTTAATTAGTTCTAATATTAAAAGTTGAAGCTTGAGGGAATAGTTTGTTACACTTTTTTTTGCAAATGCATGAGCCTCGTCCTAATATACGAGTATATTTTTAAAAAAACTTACATCAATGTGAATTCAATTTTTCTCTAGCAAAATTCAAAATTCAAATCCTATCAATAGAATGCTGGCCAAAAAACAACACAAAAATCAATCTTATCAATAGTTTTGGTAAAAAAAAAAAATCAATAGAGAAAGCAATACTTAAGAGTAAACATAGTTGGCAGGATCAGATAATTGTTACTACTGAACAATGAAAGAGTAATTTTTTATTTATTTTATTGGCCAAAAAAGTCAAAGTATTTTAAGATATATATTTGATATTTTAAAATGTTAAATTATGCTGTAAATTAAAAATATGATAAGAAATTTTTTAAACTTGAGAATTTGTTTTTGATAGAGTTCAGAATATTTTTTTTCCCCACTAAAAGTAACGTGTTTATGTTTCTGCGAAGCAAAGCTCGTCATGAAAGGAAATGAATGAAACTCCAACAGTAGCACAGAGACACACACTTCACTTTCAGCACAAGCAAAGCAGCCAGCCATAGCCAAATCGCTAAAACAACGCAACACAACAGAACAAACTACAACCACCACCATCACCACCGTGAACCTCCATGCCTCACCGGCGGTCATCCTCGTCGTCTCCCTTTCTGAGTCCACCTCTGCTTATTATTATCTTACCCATTATCATCCTTCTCTTTCTCTTCCTCGCACTTCCTCCTTTTCTCTCCTTTACCTCAAGCCTCCTTCGACCTACTTCCGTCAGGAAAAGCTGGGACTCCATCAATATTCTGTTTGTGCTTTTCGCGATTCTTTGTGGCGTTTTTGCCAAGAGGAACGATGAGGATTCGGCGTCGTCGGAAGAGGTGGAAACTGTGAGGGTCAGGGCGGTAGGGTATGAGAAAACTGTGGAACAGGAAGATGGGCCTGTTTCTCGGCATTGGTATGGGTTCCCGGAGAATAAGATTTATGATTCACCTCCGATCATCCGATTGCAGTCTCCGATGGCTGGAGTTTCCCGGCTGAGGAGAAGCAGTAGCTCTTATCCCGATCTCCGGCAGGAGTCGTTGTGGGAAACTGAGAGTGATAGGCATCGGTATCGTTTCTTTGATGATTTTGAAATCGACAGATTTCGATTGCCGGAGAGGGAGCAGATTCCGGTGGGCATCCGCATGCGGCCGGAAAATGTTGAGGAGAAGGTTGGAGAAGAGGCTGATGTGAAGGAAATTCAGGTTGATACCTTCGAAATTCGCAGTTCGTCGCCGCAGCCACCTCAACCGGCTCCGAAGTCACCGACGCCTCCCCCGACTCCTCCGCCGCCGCCTCCACCTCATCCGCCAGCTACTGCTCGGCCCAAATCTAGGCGAACATATCAGAGAGTCCCGCGCAAGAAAAAGGTGGAACATGTGAAGGTCGATGATAATGATATCACGAGGAATCCTTCTCCGCCACGACCACCTCCTCCCCCGCCCCCGCCTCCGGCACCGTCGTTCCAAACAGAATGGGAGCATAAACGTGGAAGGAATCAGCGTAGGAAGAGTAATGTGAAGAGGGAAATAGCAATGGTGTGGGCTTCACTATCCAATCAGAAAAAGAGGAAGAGAAAGCAGAGAACAACAAAGGTCGACCATATTCACAGTGAAGACAACCTCAGTGCGAAACAGCCTCCGCCGCCTCCCCCTCCTCCTCCTCCGCCGTCAGTTTTCCACAGTTGGTTCAAGAAGGGAGGAGGCAAGAATAAGAAAATTCATTCTGTCTCAAAGCCTCCACCCCCTGCTCCCCCACCTCCACCGCCATTGACATCTTCGAAGCGATGGTCATTTCGAAAGCCCAAGATCCCGCCGCCACCCCCACCGCCTCCTCCTCCAGCAGCTGAACCCCTCCGGCGTCGAAACTCCGGTAGGCCGCCATTGCCCACGAGAACAAGCACCTTCCACAACGAGACATTACTAAACAGCGGCAATCAATCACCACTGATCCCGATCCCTCCACCGCCTCCGCCACCGTTTAAGATTCCGGAGATGAAGTTCACCGTTCGCGGGGATTTTGTGAGGATACGCAGCACTAACAGCTCGCGGTGCGGCTCACCCGAACCCGAAGAAGACCCAGATGACCCGAAACCCAAGGACGACCCGCCTGAAATGGAAATTGGTGGGACCACTTCCTGTCCAAGCCCTGACGTGAACGTGAAAGCTTCGACCTTCATTGCGAGGCTGAGAGGGGAATGGAAACTGGAGAAGATAAACTCAATGAAAGAGAAGCAGAATTTGGGCCTTTACGGCCCAGGCCCAATGAGAGGGCCCAGCTGAAGTTGGCACTGAGAAAATATGACTGAAATGGGAGGGATCACCTCTATTTCTGCGATCCATCTCCTTCCACGAATGGTAAAGAAAAGAAAATCAAATCATTCATACACATGGCAGTATATTAGATTATACAATCTCATATAGGGCTCTAATTATGGTTATTTTTTGAACTGAACTTCTAGAGCTTATTGAAGAAAAAGCTGGAGTCTTGGATTTGGGTTTATATCGGTTTGTACATAGGCTTTATAGAAGGGGCTCTAATTGACCTTTTTGAGATCCAATTTGAGCCTCAGGTGACCAAGTATAACAAACCAAGTTGGAAGTGTTTGAGTTTCTATTGGGATTGACGCTTGCATTTAGTGCTTGATAGTTCCTAAAATAAGATTGCCTTCAATAGGGAATACTTTTATGCTAGCCAAAAAAGTTGAAAGTGTGTCTAGTGATATGTGTGTGTGTGTGTTCACGAGTGAGATTCCTTGTTCTAGTTGACCATACAAGGAATGAATGTAAGGTTTTTCTACTTTTAACTAGTGTGATTGTCAAATACCGATTTGGCATTTTTCGTGTAGCAATATATCTATATGCTTCCAATAAAATGCATGCTTTGTGGATGGCCCTGTTGGGTGGAGTTAAGCAATATGACAGTGTTGTATTGTTGAGCATTACAGATAAAAATGATTGAGTTATCATAGTCTTGTTCTTTGGCTTCACCCGTTGCTCCCTTTCCAATTTATAATTAAGCACTTTATATTGCTGTAATGTAACAGCTTTAGTTTTTATAATTAAGCACTTTATAATTAAGTTGTTCTGAAGAAGCATTCATTTTTGCAGGGTTTAATTAATTTGTGTGTGGGTCATGTGAGATTGTACAAGTAGCAGTTATCTGTTGGGTTCATATTGAAGATACAAATCCTGAACAAAATAAAATGGGAGAACTGCAATTAGGTTCCAAGAAAGGAACATAAATATTATAAAATCTCAATGACAACAGAGTAGTACGTAATAACAACTTTTAATAAGAAATGATAATTTCTCATTTGTTGTTGAGACATTTTAGAAGCTATTTTCTTTTCATATGGATTCTATTGCAATTCTCCCGAGTAAAATTACGGTGTTTTAATTCTTATCAACAAGTCCTCAAGTGATTAAACTTGTATGAATGAAATCGTGTGGCTCTTCTACTATTTGGCGGTTATGTGGGGAGACCACCCATGAATTGGAAGAACCATCATCTATATCGCCAGTATCAATCAGCATTCATCAATACCTCATAAAAATTACCAACGGGAGCATTCATCAATACCTCATAAAAATTACCAATAAGGATTGGTTCAAGTGGTAAACAGCTTAGTACCGTTTAAGCGAGGTCTCAAGTTTGAGCCTCAGCGTATGTAAAAATTCCCGTTGGAAGACTCACCCACCACAGCCAGATGTGCGACGTGGGTCGAATCCAAATGTAGTAGGAAAAAAGCTATGGTGAACTGCGTGGGCAATAAAAAAAACCTCATAAAAATTTGGATTTTTTTTTGGTAGTGAATAGTAATAATAAAATGTGTTGGGCTGAACAATTCCACCGTCTCTTATGGGGAGGAATTCTTAGATACTCCCAGTGCACCACATCATATAAACACTGCCCAATAAAAATGCACCAACTCCATGAACGTCAGTCTACATGTCACCTGATGTGGCAATTTTTTTAATTAAGACTATTTTATCAAAAAAAACTCTGTCACCCTCATACTCTCTCTCCCATTTTCCGAAAACTTCTGTCAAAATTTTCTCTTTCCACTTTAAAATTCCAACAAAAAGAACTAGATATCCACGGAAGTTGAAAAGAAAGAGAGGTATATATGATTGTATGAAATCATCTTGTGTTTGTTTCTACTTTCTGGATCACTCGCTGCATTGCTCTTTTCAAAAGCACAGCGTTTTTTCACTGCTCATTTGCGACCCACTCCTCTGGTTTCTATGATCGATTGCTTAGAGAAATTTGTAGATTCGATTTTATCGCTCTTACCAAAATCACTGCCCAAAGCACCAAACCTCGCGTCCAGTGTTTTTCTGATGAAGAGTTTGGGGTTGTCATAAAACGCAACCTAGAAGGTAATGAAAGAGAAGAGGGGAGAGAAGGGCAGGAGAATCGGCTGAATAACGGGGGAGAGACGTGTGAGAATAAAGATGAGAGAGAAAAATTTAAAAGAAATTCATTGAAAAATGGGAGAGAGAATACGCGTCGCAGAATTTTTTTATAAATTATCCTAAATTTAAAAGTAGCCACATCAGGTGACATGTAGACTGACATTTATGGAGTTGGTGAATTTTTATTGGGCAGTGTTTATATGATGTGGTACACCAGGAGTATCTAAGAATTCATCCTTATGGGGAGAAGGAACCCACTCACCCGTTTTTACAAGGCTACAGAACGCGAGATGGTTTTTTTTTTTTTTTTTGGTGAGCTGAGAACGTGAGATGTTATTGAACTGAGATTTTCAACAAACAAACTGTGATAATTGATAGAATAAATAAAGTGTGAGATCCCCTTAGAATAAAATTGGTTCGGTTGCATTAATACTCGCTTGTTTAAAAATTTTACCCACCGTAATTCGTTGGTTTCTTCTTATTTTTCGTTTTCACATGGGGGCCAATGTGGTCTTTGTATATAACTTGTAAATTTCAGCCGGGTGTTGTTTCTAATTTTCGAACAAGCGGAGTAGCTGTATGATCTTACAAGAATTTTATTTGAGTACCCTACTGATGTGGGAATTACACATAGCCACCTAAATGGTGTGAAAATTCCATATAATTACCATAATCCGGTGAAAATGACACACAACTGTTCTAATCATACAGGTAAAATAAATACCCTTCTTATGCAAAGTGCACAAAATCTCCCATGCACTTCCAGTTGGCATGGTGAACTTTTCATCAATGGAAGTGTTCTCTTCACATGGAAGTTCATGCAATTCTCGTCACCAACTGAGTATTGATTTCTGGGACCTGAGGAAATTGAGGAAGTCAATTTTAAAATCTATCAGTCAATTTCAGAGAACCCATTGTTATTCGCCTCTCAAAAGCCTATATGCGATTTGTTATGAGTCTCGCATTTGAAAATCTTACAAACGTAGTATGGTTTATAAGTTTAAAAGCCTATCCCTCTAAATAGGCTTTTCTTTTCTTTTCTTTTATATATTTATTTTTTTTAGATTAATTTTCCCTTTTAAATTTGTGCTCATAACATTGATATTCTCATTAAGGGTTGATGTTTATGACCACCCACGAAGACTTTTGAGAAACAAGAGGTCGAAGTGTGATTCTGAGAGAGAAATGAGAGGAAGAGATTTTGAGAGAATCTGAACCTTCTCAATATATATACACGTGTGAGAGTGAGAGATCAAAGTGTTAATCACAACTTAAAATGCCTATGGACATCACATATTATTATTGTTGAGGAGACTCAATATATACTCTTTTAGATCAACTGGTTTGGGACTGTTCTGATCTAAAAAGGTTTTAAATTTAAGACGTGGGAATGCAACATCTTAAGGGTCAAGATGCTAACCTTAATAATTCTTGTTATACTTGTATCTGGATTAATCTAAACCTGTTGTTGTGCCTGAAAAACAACTTAACCCAGGATACTAGCTGTTTATGCAAATACGCACACTCTTTTAACGTAGAAAAGGGCCAAGAAAATGTGGACTTACTAATCATGATAAGACAAACACGCCATTGACCAGAATACACTTCGGATTTGGCGACATCGTGGGTATATTCCCGGACATCAAGCCAAAAAGAACAAGACATCGTTTCTGTGGGGCTAATTAATTGAATGACGCCACTGTTATATTGAACTCCTCCGGTCCTTAATATCATATTCAATTATTGAGTTGGTTTTGATACTAAATATAAAATCTATTTTTCATATTTATCAATTTCTTCTAAATTATCCCTATGGATATTCCCTCAACTATAATCAAGTAAAAGAGAGAGATGGGGTATTAAGAAAGATGATATAGTGTTTTTTAGGACAAACGTGTCACATTTTTATAATTAACTAACGTACCTAACTTCATTAATCTAATTAAATTAGTTAAATGAGTCTTATATTAAGAACCAAAGGAGTGTATATATTTTATAATTAAAAAAAACACATTATCTCATATTCTTAATATAAAAGTTTGTTAATTAATTTTAAAAAAATTTAAAAAATTTGTTAAGTTTCTTATTGATAACAGAAATGTGTATTGACTTATTTCTATTACCCTTTTTAATCATGTGGGAGGCACCTAAACTAATTAATAAGGATATTTTGGCAAAAATGTCATAAATTTGGAAGATAAAGTGAATCAACATTTTATATTTAGGATCAAGTCTAATTCTTAATTAGCTCTTGTATTAAACACAAGTAGTATTATATATAAATCATTTCATTTCGTTCTAATGTTTTTCAACCTATCACATTTGTATAACATAAACATTTACCAAATTGATCCCAAACATTTTTCACAAATAAATCATGCCTTAAAAATATTATGGCAAAAAAAAAAACATGTTGGATATAATTTATATTTAATTATTTTTAACTATTGGAATATTTGAATTAGGAGTAAATCGGATACTCCGATGAGATTTTGGATAATTTAATAATATTGTGTGCGTATCCCTTCTGTGGTCCTAAAGCCAATCGACTGGGTCCGGTTTTATAATTAATTAGATAACGGCAAACTTACAAAAGAAAATGTTTCTATATTCTCTTTAAGGTCAGTTTGGTACAAGGGAAATTGAAAGAAGGGGAAGAGAAGAAAAATTTTAATGAACTCGTTTAAAAAAATTAAAAGAAATGAAATTAAATTTTCTAATAAATTTTTTTTTACTCTTTTATCTTATATTTAATTTTCATCAAAATTTTATAACCCTATTTTTTAATTTTTTAAAATGAGTTCATTAAAATTTCTATTCCACTCCCACTCCCTTTCCTTCGTGTCCCTCGTATCAAACAGATCCTAAAAGAATTTCCTAGCCAGTGACGGCAGAATTCTGAGTTAACGTCGATGTTCCCCATGCTGCTTAGAAAAATTCTCAATCTTTGTTTTTCTTTTTTTCTTTTGCCGGATCAATCTCTTCGTTTCATCTAATTATTCTCCAGATTATTTCCTTCCTTTCTTTTTAGAACATAAGTTTCTTATATTTACTATGTCAAGTCTTCTAATCGTATATGAAAAAAAATATTAGCATTTAATAATATTTAATTATAAATTTATATAAAAAACACTTAATTATAAATTTATATAAAAACACACTTAATTATGCGTGGTTGGACAACTTGACATGATAAGTATAAAGAGCTTCACTTAAAATATTTTTCTTTTTATCTTTAGTTCCCAGCTCAAAATATTCAAAAAATTATTGCTTTGTATATTTATTTAGTATGATAAGATGTATTTATAAGTCTTCCATTATAATGACATCGTGAGATTTCTAATACTTATATATAGCTATTAATTTAGAGGACATATGTCCTAAAAAATGCTTCATAAAACATATGGTTCACGGTAAAAGAGTTTTATAAAGCAAATGTAATGATAAACATTTTTTAACTTTTGCTTGTCTCTAAACTTTATGGAGAATCTCTATCCGTTATTTAAAAAAGAAAATGATAATTAAGACCTCTTCGGTATATTTAGCATCACGTGACTATCAGTTAAAACAAAAAGGCTCCAACATGGCCATATGAAATCAACAGATCATTACCTTTTTAATTTGCACTTTTTTTTATGTGCTTTGTGCCCAACGTGCAATATTATTATCAGTGTTTTGATCTAAGTAACAATTATTTCTCTTTGAGATGACAAGTG